AAAGCGTTTTACGAAGTGATATTTCCAGGCGTCCAGATCCTTCCCCCCCCCCCCCCCCCCCTCCTCGCCGCGACTCGCTCACCTCGGATTCCCCCACACAGCCGTCGGCGCAGCATACGGCACTGCCAAGGCTGGCATTGGCATCACCGGCATGGGCATGATGCGCCCCGACCTCATCATGAAGGTGCGCCCACCTCCCCCTCCCCCTCGCCCCCTCTCCTCCGGCCACTCACCCTTGCTCCTCCCTTGCGCACACACAGTCCCTCATCCCCGTCGTCATGGCCGGTATCATCGCCGTGTACGGCCTCGTCGTCTCGGTCCTCATCGTCGGCAACCTCTCGATCGACAGCCCCTACTCGCTCTACGCCGGCGCCGTTCACCTCGCCGCCGGCCTCTCGTGCGGCTTGACCGGCGTCGCTGCAGGAGCCGCCATCGGCAAGGTCGGCGACGCGTGCGCGAGGGCCTACATGCAGCAGAGCCGCGTCTTTGTCGCCATGGTCCTCATGCTCGTGCGTCCCCTTTGCCCCTCTCCACCCCCTTCCTCCCTCTCTTTCGCGCACTCGACCTCATATTGACCATCCCTGCGCACGCCCGAGCAGATCTTCGCCGAGGTCATCGGACTGTACGGCCTCATCGTCGCCCTCATCCTCAACACGCGCGCCGGCACCCCCGTCTGCTGAGCCTGCGCGCCCGCACCCGCTCTTCGTACATACCCCCCTTGTCGGCGTCCTTCGGGCTCGCCTCGTCTTCGTTCTCCCCCTTCTGCATCGTACCCCTTGTCCCCTCTCGGCAATGCAGCGTGTACACGAATTAGGAGCACGTCGTCCGTCGGGGAAGAGAGCGGTCCTTCTTTCGCTCGACGCTGTGGTGGCTCGAGCGCAGCCACGTCGCCCTTTTCGACGCTCTTCCGCAATCCTTCCGCACCCGCAATCGTTTCGCGACAGGCCGCTTGCCCCTCGGCGCTCGTCCTCTCAGTCTCAGACGCGCCCGTCTTGTCCAGTCGAGCGACGAACAGCTCGCGCCGCACCGAGCCGAGGAAGACAGCGAGAGACAGAGCAGGAGAGAGAGTCAGGGCTCGCAGCTGCGAGATGCGACGAGCGTACGAGCCGCTCGAGGCTCGAGCGCTCCTTCAGCGAGCGAGTGCAGGAGGCTGAGCGAGAGCAGGAGCGACAGTTCTGCCCGTCCACTCAAGCCGAGAGCGAGTGAAGTGTTCGTCGCGGATCCAAACGAGGGAGCTCTGGCGCTGTACAAGGTCGAGGGAGCCCGCTCAGCAACTTGGGAAGGTCGACGACGATGAGGCAGAACGTTCTCTCACTCGCCCTTTGAGAACTCGCCGAGTCCCTCTGTGCAAGCAGTACTCTCTGATTCATTCTCTCGATGGACAAGTGCGAGAAAGAGAGGAAAGGCCATTTGCAGGAGGGCGAGCTCGCAGAGAGCTACACGTCGATGATCTGCGCCCGCACTGCTCGAGAGCGTCAGTACGCGGTCTGGGGAACAGCAATGCGAGAGAGACGCACCAGGGACGACGATCGTCTCGCCGATGTCGACCCTGCCCATCCTCCCCCGCTTGCCCCCCTTCTCGTCGCGCAAGTTGCGCACGCCCGCCTCGTCGCACGCGCTCTCGAGCTCGTGCAGCGCCTCGAGCGCCTCGAGATGCGAGCCCTGGAAGGTGCCAAAGTGGATGCCTGCGCAGGGTGACCGTCGGCGGGGGAAAAGGAAAAAGGTCGAGGGAAAGGGAAAGACGAGGACGCACCGACTGTGTTTCGGCTGCGCACGTCGAGGTGGATCTGCACGGCGTCGGTCGGCGAGGCGTGCGTCGACGTCGGGAGGTTCTCCTGGCAGAGCTGCAGGCGCTCATGACCGAGTCAGCGACCCGGCAAAAGAGGCAGAAAAAGGGGGGCTCGTGCGCACCCGCAGGCCGAGCGCCGAGATGAAGCCGAGGGTACCGCCGCGCCAGATCGGGATGAACGACAGGTCGAATGGACCGTACTCTGCGCCGAGAGCCGAGAAGACGGGCGAGGTGAGCGGCGACCCGGCGCAAGGTCGGCAGCCCGTGTCTCTGCGAGCGAGGGGCGCAGGACGGCGAGACCGTCAGGACGGCGTTACGAGGACCGAGGAAGTGGGGCGCACCCTGCGTGGTAGACCGAGCCTCGTCGCACCCAACGCGCCGTCGCCATCGTCTCCTCGGCGCGCGCTCGGGCCGCGGGAAGTCCTCCTTCGACGGCTCGTCGCGCCCAAGCCGCATAGTCGACGCCGTGCGAGTCGTCGAACGGGTCGAGCAACGTGTCGGAAGAGGTCGCAATGGACGAGGATGCGCGGAACGAGGTGCGCGAGGTCGGGAAGGAGGACGATGGGGAAGTCGCAGGAGGGAAGGACGCCGGCAACGTCGCCACCTTGGCCCGCGCGAGGCGCTCGACGACCCAGCCGCACCACAGCGTCTTTCGCTGATCGAGTAAGCTGCGGCCTGCGAGAGTTGAGTCAGTGATCCTGAAAAGGAATGGGGCTCGACCGCCTCGTGGGTCGTCGCAGCTCGGCATGGACGGGGAAAGAGAGGCTGGACGAACCGCTCGTGTGCTGCGCAGGGACGCAGGTGACCCATATCTCCTCCGCTGCTCCTTCCGCTCGAGGCGCACGCCGTCGTCCCGAGGTCGGCCGGTCGAGGAACTGCGACGCCGGGAAAACGACCTCCTCCCACCAGTCCATCTCGCGGACTTGGTCTGGCGAGATGCCGCGAGCGATGAACCAGGGCGCGTTACCTGTAGAAGAGGGTGAATTAGTGCGCCGACTCGTCGAGACGAGAGAAATGGGTGGCTGACGCACCGAGGCCGACGCAGTACATGGCGCGAGGCCACCTCGCGTGTACGGCGAGGATCGTCGCCAAGTCGAGATGGTCGTAGCTGTGAGGGCGAGAGGCTTCAGCAGCTCCTACGAGGGCGGCAAAGAGAGAGAGAGAGAAAGGCGCAAGGGGACGCACTGGTTGTGCGAGATCAGGACCAAGTCGACGCCGGGCAGGTCCTCGACGAGGCAGGGCGCCTCGCGCATGCGCTTGGGGCCGAACCAGGTGACGGGAGAGGCGCGGGCCGAGAACATGGGGTCGAACAGGAGCTTGAGCGTCGGCCGAGGGGACGCCGTCGAGGATGAGGCCGGCCCGAGCGGCACCTCGACGAACGCGCCGGCATGCCCGACCCAGGTGCCGCAGATGACCTCGTCGTCGCCGTCGTCTTGTCCGCCGTCGGCGGGGAGCGCACCGCGTTCACGCTCCCTCGCTCGCCGCCTCAGCTCGCGGCGCCCCCAATCGGGTTCGACGACCTTGACGTCCTCGACGAGGCCCTCGAGCTCGTGCATCGGGCGGGAGAGCCACGGCCCGCGAAAGAGGTCGGCGAAGGAGGGCAGGTAGGCTGACCGCCACGGATTGAAGAACGAGCTGCGGCCGGTGAGGGCGCTGACACGGTGGTGCGGCGCATCGGGAGAGGTCGACATGCGGCTGCCGCTCGCGACGCTGCGAGATGGACAGGCCGAGAAGCAGACACAAAGCGAGAGCTAAAGCTGCAGGCGTGCCCGACGAGCGAGCCCGGAAAGTCCGGCCGCACACGAGGGGAGGACGGACGAGGTGCGGACGATGGACCGGTCGCGGCGCGCAGATCAAGCTCGGCCTCGGCATACTCGAGGGAGGCTTGAGCGGTTCTACAGCTCGGAAGCGGTCGACCGAGGAGCGAGGGAGGCGCAGAAGGCCAGGACGAGGAGTAGGCGCAGAAAGAGCACGGCAAGCGCTGCCTGGAGGCAGGAGCTACTGTGGCGGGCAAGCTCGCGCACACACAGACCAGCAGGGAGCGTCTATGCGGGCGTGCGTGAGCGTTGGAGGAGACAGAGCGAACCTCGGTGGACGGCGGTCGACCAGCTTCGCTTCCTCCCTCGTCACCGCCCTCGCACTCGCTGCAGGGCCAGCGCCGCCGCCCGCGCTACCTCCGTTGCTCTACGACACGTTCCGCCTCTCGCACGACCCGCCCAGTCGCGTCACCGCCTCGTCGACCCTGCTTGCGTCCTCGCAGCCGGCACCTCGTCGGCTCGCCCCCCTCTGCAGCACGCGCACTCGATCAAGGCCCAGTCGCCGTCATTGGTCCACCAGGTGAGCCCTCGTCTTCCTCTCCCTCCTTCCAGTGGCGTGCCAGCCGAGAACGCGGCGCATTGGGAGCCTCGGCGCCAAGTGGGGGAGAACCGTCGTGGGCCAGCTCGCACGCCCTCGAAGCTCAGGCAGCACACTGCCAGCTTGACGGGAGAGAGCTGCACGCGCGCAATCGCACGCCCGAGCCATCGTCGCCGATCCTCGCTCGGAGCGTTCTCGATGGGGACGACGAGGCGCCGACGCGCCGTCCGCGTCAATGAGCAACTGTCGCGCCTCCTGTCGAACAGCCTTCCTGACCTCCTACCTCCCCCTTGCAGGCCTGACCTCTTCATCCGCCCCCGAGATGCCGGCCACCGTGCCGTCACCCGGTCCTGCGCGCGAGGCGTCGTCCGCCTCCTCGACCTCGTCTGGCGAGACCGCTCGCGCCACAGACAACCCCGACCCGACACCTGTCGACCTTCCTTCGCCCGCCGACGAGTCGGGCACAACGCCGACCGCCAACCTCCCCTCTCAGCTCGCGTCGACCCCGCCCGCCTCCTCCTCAGCTCGCCCGAACCCGAGAAGCGCCTCTTCCGCTCGCACCGCCTCGTCGCCCACGCCCAACCCGCATCGACGCACCCTCTCGTCCGCCTCGAGCGCGGGAGGGTCTACCGCGCCGCCGTCCAACGTCAACTCGCCCGCGCGGCGCGACTACGGCGCGTCGGGCGCAGCCGGGCCGTCCGACCTAAGCGACTCGATCCTGCACGAGGAGAGCGGCGAGGACGGCGACGAGTCGTTCTTCACCGCCGACGCGCCCAACAGCGCCGTGCGCGGCGCCGGCAGCACCCTCGGCGTCCGGCGTCCGAGCGGCGCAGGCCCAGCAGCCTCGCGAGCGCGGCCGCCGAGCACGAGCCTCCTCCCGCCGTCGACGGGCGGCAACTTCCGCCGCTCGATCAGCGTCAACACGAGCGCGTCGGCCGCTTCGCAAGCCGGCGGCGGCGCCGCCTCGCCCGCCCTCGGCACCTTCGCGCGCCCGAGCCTCCCGCACCCGCACAGCTCGGCGCGCCTCTCGATCGCGCCCTCGACCGCGCCCCATTCACGTGCCCGCACACCCGGTGCCGGAGCGACCCTGGGGCGCCGCTCGGTGTCGAGGGCGGGCCGCATCTCGACGACGGCGTCCGAGGCGTCGTCGGACGAGGAGGCGCACGCCGAGTGGACCCGCAGCTCGCGCGGTCATGGCTACGACGCCGAGCTCGCCAGTGCGCCGCCAGCTCGGCGCCGCGAGCAGGTCAAGAGCGACGGCGAGGAGGACGGCGCGCAGACGAGGGACCGCGGCGAGGAGCTGGTCCGCAAGCGCATGCGCGAGCGCAAGGTGCGTCTCTCCTTCCTCTTCTCTTCTGTGTCCTTGTCTCGCACAGAGCCTGACTCGCTCGACGTGTACCCGCAGGAGGCGCGCAAGGCGGCGCAGACGCAGCGCATGCGCGACGAGTCGACCCGCCGCATCTCGGCCTACACGCAGGGCTCGTCGGCCGGCGGCGACTTTGACGACCGCCTCGGCCTCGGCTTTCCTTCCGCCACTGGCGCCGGCCCCTCGGCAAACCTGTCGGCACCACGCACTCGCGACCCGTCGGTCGCTCGGTCCGAGCGCTCGCACACGGCCGCATCGCTCTTCTCGGACGGCGGCGGCGGCCCGCGCTCGCCCATCTTTGCCGCGCCGCACCAGGCCCAGCCGTGGTCGCCCCTCGGCATCCCGCACCACCAGCACGCGCCGTACTCGCACGTCCCGCGGCCGAGCCTCGGCTCGCGCGGCGCGAGCTACCTCTCGTCGGCGTCGGCGACCTCGCACGCGAGCGACACCGAGGGCCCGACCGGCACGCAGTCGGGTCGCGGAGGGGCGGGCAGCGTTGTCGAGGGCGAGACGGAGGGAGAGGGCGACGAGGGCGAGCTGAGCGGTCAAGATCCGCGCATGGAGGACTGGGACGACGGCGGCGCCGACGGGACGCACGCCGACGACAGCGGCGAGGAGGTCGAGTACACGCTCAAGGACCGCCAGGACGTGCGTCGCGATCTCTTCTCGTCGACACGACGCTCGTCGACCCGTACTGACTTTGCCTCTCTTGCCGACAGGCCATCAACGTCGAGCACCCGTTCGGCCTGCCGATCTGGAAGCCCGCCCTGTACAAGAAGAGCCGCTCGATCGCTCGTCACGCCGAGTCGGCCCTGCACGCCGCGCCGTCGTCGACCGCGCTCCACCACCTCCTGCCCTCGAACGTCGTCTGGACCGTCTCGCTCGGCACCCCCCTCTTTGCCCTGTGCGCCCTCGTCAGCGCCGTCCTCTTCATCACGCCCTTCGGCGGCAGCAAGTACGGCCGTGTCGTGTGGGAGCTCGGCACGTACCTCTTCTGGCCCTTCGGCAAATACGTCGAGGGCTGGACGAGCGAGCCGCACGACATCGTCGACGAGGCCGAGCACGACGACGACGAGCACGATGTCGACCCGCTTCACCCCGGTCGCAGTGACGAGGACGCCGACGAGGAGGAGGCGGCGGGACGAGGAGCCGGGCCGAGCTACAGCAGCGACCCCGAGGCGGCGGGCCAGACATTCCGCCGCGGCAGGAGCGGCACGATCAACGGCCTCAACACGGCGTCGACGACGTCGAACCTGTCGCGCCCGTCGCTCGACGGCGTGTTCGCGAGCGAGCACGACGGCGCGTCGCTCCCGGACGAGCCGCTTCGCCGCAGCGACCGTACCTACGTCCCGCACGAGCGCTCGGCCCTCCTCGCGCCGCACAAGGCCTCGTCGCCTCGTGCCGGCTACGGCACTCGCGACGACAAGAACGCGCGCGCGTCGACGTCGTCGAGCGACGAGACGGCCGTCGGGTACGGCGGCATTGCCCCGCACGATTTTAGCAAGGACGACGACGCGCGAGGCTTCCGAGTGCGCGCGCTCGGTCGCCTCGTCTACTGGGCGACGTTCTACCTCGTCGTCGCGCCCGTCATGCTCGTCGTCGCGGCGATCTGCTGGGGCTGCGTCTTTACGATCCCGATGGCGCGCCTCCTGTGGGTCCTCCTGCGCCACCTCAACAACGAGCCCCTGTCGCTCCACTTTCGGTCGCCGCCCGAGTACGCGCCCGTCGCCCAGGACCTCGCGACCGACCTCGAGGCGCCCGACGTGCACGCCGACGGCCCGACCCACCACGCCGGGTCGAGCATCATCTACCCGCTCCGAGCCGGGCAGCCCGCGCCGCCGCTCCCGCGCCAGTCGCTCGTCGCCGACAAGCGCAAGGGGCGGCTGCGGGGCCCGCACCCGACCGTGCTCCTGTGCACGTACCGCGCCGCCGGGCGCGAGTACTACAAGTACACGGTCGACGGCGTGAATGTTTGGTTCGTCAACCTGCTCGCCCTCGTGTTCCTCGCCATCGCCGACTTCTTCCTCCTCATGCCGTACGTCGAGCGGACGCACCCGCACGGTGGCGCCGGGTTCCTCGGGCTCCTCGTCGCGCCGCCCTTCGTCTTCTCGGCCGCGCTCCTGTCGGTCATCCCGCTGTCGTACTTCCTCGGCATGGCCGTCGCGTCCATCTCGGCCCAGTCGAGCATCGGCGTCGGCGCCGTCATCAACGCGTCGTTCGGCTCGGTCATCGAGATCATCCTGTACGGCATCGCCCTCACCCAGGCCAAGGGCGAGCTCGTCGAGGGCTCGATCGTCGGGTCCATCCTCGCCGGCGTCCTCCTCATGCCCGGCCTGTCGATGATTGCCGGCGCGTTCCGCCGCAAGGAGCAGCGCTTCAACGCCCGAGCCGCCGGCGTCACGAGCACGATGCTCATCATGGCCCTCATCGGCACCTTGACGCCGACGCTCTTCTACGAGATCTACGGCTCGGTCCGTCCCGCTCTCTCTTCCTCTTCCCTCTTCCTGTATTGGACGAGCGGCCCCTGACCCTCGCCTCCTCGTCCCCTCTCGCAGTTCCAGCTCACGTGCAACGACTGCGACCTCCCGACCTCGCAAGGCGGGCCCGAGTCGTGCCGGTCGTGCTACTACGAGCACGTGTCGCCCGCCGACGACCCGTTCTACCGTCAGACGGTCGTACGCCTGTCGTACTACTGCGCGATCCTGCTCGTCCTGGTGCGCCCCTGCCTCTCCTCGTCCTTTTTTTCGTCGGCCTCTTTGCGACTCGTCCTGACCTCGCGCTTCGTCCTCCTTCGCACAGTCGTACCTCATCGGCCTGTGGTTCTCGCTCAAGACGCACGCGTCCCAGATCTGGCAAAACGCCGCCCCGTCGCAGGAACACGCTCGACCTCTCTCGACCGCCCACCCGCACCCTCAGCCGGCGACGGCGGCCGACCGTCGCTCGCTGTACCAGCGTATCGTACCGTCGCAGCTCTTCCAGCAGGGCAAGCATCGTGCCTCGCCGCTCGCGACGCCGCACCTCGGCCCGTCGGGCCCGAACAAGCCCGGCGAGTCGCCGCACCAGCTGCAGCAGCAACCTCATGCCGCACCGCCGCTGCAGCTGCCCGACGGTCTCACGCCCGACGAGCTCAACCGGGCGTTCCAGGTCGTCGCGAGCGCAGCGTCGGCGCTCCACCCGCAGGCGACGGCGCCGCACCTCCGCCGCAGCGTGTCGCACGCTCGCGACCAGTCGGGGCTGCATGCGCATGCCGGGCAGGGCAAAGACGACGAGGAGGCCGGTCACGGCGGGCATGACGCGCCGAACTGGAGCAGGGCCAAGAGTGCGACGGTTCTGCTCGCGTGCACGGTCCTCTACGCTGTCATCGCCGGTGCGCCCCTCTTTTCTCTCCTCTTCTCTCTCGTCTCGTCTGGACCCTCGCCTGACGTCGTGCATGTGCCTGCAGAGATCCTGGTGGACGTGGTCGACGTCGTTCTCGAGGGCTCGGGCATCCCGGAGAAGCTCCTCGGCGTCACGCTCTTTGCGCTCGTGCCCAATACGACCGAGTTCATGAACGCCATCTCGTTCGCGCTCAACGGCAACATCGCCCTCTCGTGCGTCGCGCCCGATCTCTCTTCCTCGCTCGAGGCGACCCGGGAAGAGGACCTGACGTCGTCCTCGTCGCCGCGCAGGATGGAAATCGGCTCGGCGTACGCCTTGCAGGTCTGCCTCATCCAGATCCCGGCCATGCTCGCCTTTACCGCCTTCTACAGCATCGGCAAAGAGACGATGGCTCATCACGCGTTCACGTTCGTCGCCTCTTCCTCTCACTCTCTCTCTCGAGGTCGACCTCGACTGACCTTCTCCGACGTCGCGCAGGCTCGTCTTCCCGCGGTGGGACGCTATCGCCATGCTCTTCAGCATCTTCCTGATGACCTACCTGTTCCTCGAGTCTCGGTGAGCCGCTCTCTTTCTCTCTCACTCTGTCTCTCTCTCGGCCTCCATCGGCGACCCTCGACTGACCTGCGTGTTCGCCCACTCGCAGCGCCAACTACAACCGCGGCGCCACGTTCGTCCTCGCCTACCTTGCGCTCATGGGCGGCTTCCTGTTCGCCCCCGCAAACCGCGACACGAGCGACGACCCGGGCTTTGGCGGCGCCACGGTCGCCTTCGCCTCGGCCGCCCCCTGCACCTTGCCCTTTGCCCTCAAGGCCAAGGCCGTCCTCCTCTCCTTGTTCTCTCGATAGCTCCCTGTTCCCTTTCCCTGTCCCCTCGCACGCACTTCCACCTTGTCCTCGCGCTCTGTCCCCTCGCGCACCCGATAGACCCTCCCCTTGTCGCCCTCGGACGAGCCCGTAATGCCACAGCTTCCTCGCACTCTTTCCGTCCTCGCCTTTCCGTCGTCGAGAGCTCGCCGAGACCGCAGAGAGATGCGATAGTGCGACGATGCAGATGCGGCTACAGGTTCTAGTCTAAGAGGCCCTCGCTACGACGACACCTGCTCGCCCTCGGCCTCGAGACCCGACACGAGGCTCATCCAGCCCTCGCTCAGGCCCTCTCGCACCTTGTACCCGATCTCGCCGGCCCATCTATCGACCCGAGCCCGATCGCGCGCCTCTCGCCCGTCGTCCTCCGGGTCGTCGAGGATCGTCATGTCGCCCTCGCCGTCAAGGCACATGACGGCCCAGCCGACGACAATCATGCCCGGCGGTCGGTGCGGCGGCAGCTGCTCGAGGACCTGGGCAAGGCGGTCGATCGTGCTCGCGACGACGCGCTGATCCGGGCTCGACGCGCGCTCGACGAGCGCGATCGGCAGGTACGGCGGGTAGGGCGTCGTCGGGTGGTGCATGAGCGACTGGACGAGCGACGACAGGCGGGCGACGCCCATGAGGACGCACAGCGTCTTGGCGCGCTCGTACGGCGCGAGCGGGACGTCACGCCCGCCGCGACCGACGCCCGTGCACACGACGACCGACTCGGCGACGCCGCGCTGCGTGACGGGGATGCCGGCGAGGAGCGGGCCGGCGAGCGACGACGACAGGCCCGGGACGACGACGCTCTCAACGCCGGCGACGGCGCGGAACCGGAGCACCTCCTCGCCGCCGCGCCCGTAAAGGTACGGGTCGCCCTGCTTGAGGCGCATGACGGTCTTGCCGCGTTTGGCGCCCTCGATCGCGAGCGCCATGAGTTCCTCCTGCGCCGCCTCGGCGTTGCCCGGGTACTTGCGCGCGATGACGACGCCGGCCCGTCGCTCGGGCGGGATAAGGGCGAGGATCTGGGGCGGCACGAGCTTGTCCGAGAGAAAGAGGTCGACGAAGAAGGGGGAAGAGGGGTCGGCGGTCGTGAGGAGGAGATGGGCGACGCGGGTGAGGAGGAGCGGGTTGCCCGGACCGGTACCGAGGAGGAGGATGCGGCCTTTTCTCGGCGACGAGGAGGAGGCGGCGAGGAGGTCGGCTGCGTCGGGTGCGGGTGCGAGGTCGTGGTACGAGGCTTGTAGACGAGGTGAAAGGGGTGCGGTAGGGGTTGACGGCGCCGAGAGGGAGGCGATCGAGACGGTGGCGAGGCGGTCGAGTGGCCAGTACTCGCTGACCTGGGACACGTAGCGCATGCGCGTGAGCTGCGCCGACGATGCCGTCCATGTCGTGCTGTGCGACCTGTGCGGGCGGCCGAGAGGCGAGTCAGGAGGGCGCACAGGTGAGAGAGGGAGAGAGAGGCGGACGCACCCTTGCCCATCGAGCGCCCAGCTCTTGCCCCTCGACAGCTGCTCCACCGGGCGATTGAGGCCGACGCCTTGCGTCTCCTCCGAGTCGTCCTCGCCGTCTGCGCTCTCTCCCGCCTGCGCTTGCGCCTTGAGCTCGTCTCGCAGCCGGCCGACCGCTTCGACGGCCGCTCCGGCCGTTTTGGGGAGCGAGGCGACGATTTCTCGCCGCAGGCGGGTCGCGAGACGGCACGCCGACGAGTTGGTGGTGAGGGCGAGCTGGAGGGGCGACTTGCGGGGTGCGGCAGTCGAGGACGACGACGGGCCGGGCGCCTCGAGGTCGAACCGGTGCGAGATCATCCACCCGAAATCGCTCAGGCCGGGGCAGTCGGCGACGTTGACGAAGAAGCGTCGCCTCTCGGCCTCGGCGCGGAATGCCCGGGCGCTCGCGGATGTGCGACGAGTTCTGGCGGCGGCCGACGCCGTGGCCGGCGCGAGGATCGTGTCCGACAGGACGATCATGCGGACGCCCTCGAGGTTGCCGGCGCCTTCTGCGCCCTCGAACCACTCGCTCCACCGCGCAAGGTCGGCGTCGGCCTCGACGGCCCACGGGATCGTGTCGACCTGCTTGAGCGCGAACCGGTGCGCAAGCTCTGGGTCCCACTCGTGCAGGTTGTCGGGCGACGGCGGGGCGGTGGCGCCGATGACGACACGGTACCCTGCTTCGAGTGCGGCAAAGGCGCGCAGGGCGGACAGGCGCGAGGGCCCGAGGAGGAGGAGCGACTGCGGGCGCGAGGTCGAGGTCGAGGGAGCGGCGGGCGTAAAGGCGAGGAGGAGGGATGCGCCGGGTTGCGGTGCGGGATAGGTAGGCATCGCGGCGGCTGTGGAACGAGAGTGCGAGTCAGGTATGTGCCCTCGAGACGCCCCGCTCGAGTCGAAGCACCGAGTAGGAACGCCGGCGACGAGAAGGGAGCTCGCGCAACGGCGACCACCATGAACCTCCCATGAACGCGCATAGAAAGGTGTGTGCGCACCTGCTGGGCCGAGTGCGGGCAGTTCTGTGCAGCTAGCGGCTGTTGGGGAAGTGCGAGGTCGAGGTGGTGCGGCGAGCGGGTGCCGGCAGGAGGAGCGGGGCTGGCGAGGTGCGAGTCGAGGGACAAGGCGCGCAGCAGGTGGCGAGCTGTGCTGGCGCAGGTGCTGGGTCGGGCAGGGCGAGCTGCTGCGCGGTCGTGGTGGGCGAGCGGCAGGTTCGCTATCGCGTGCTCTCTCCGCGTCGGCTTGACATCTGATTGGCTGCAGATGAACACCAGCTCTCGCTCTCCTCTTTCTCCCTCGTCGCTGCCGGTACGCACCTGTGCTGCGCTTGCCGCTCCAGTTCCCGCTTCACAGCGAGCTTGCACGCCATCGACGCCCTGCTGCACCGCCTCGCCGTCCTCCCCCACGCCGCTCGCTCGTGGGCCGCGGACGCGAGCCAATTTCTCTCGCCGCCTTACGAGCGTCCGCGACTCGGTGCAGGGCCATCCGCAGGCAGCTGACCTGCCGAGGGTCCACGCACTCGCGCGGGCGAGACTCGGTCGCAGTGGGTCCGGGCTGCTCTTTGTCTCCGCTTCTGTCCTCCAGCTTGCGTTCGCCGGCGGTTCTTCTCCCAGCTCAGCTTCCACTGCATCCAGGCCATGTCGAGCAGGCCCGTCAAGTCAGAGGGAGACGCCGAGGGCGCGTTGAGCCTGCAGCTCGACAGCCTCACCATCGAGCGTGCGTCGTCCCTTTTCCTCGTCTCTTTCTCCCACTTCCTGCGCAACTGACATGCTCCGAGGCGCCCTCTTCTTGCTTCCTTCCACCCAGGCGACAAGGGTGAGTCCCTCGGTCCTCTCTATCCCCGCTCGGCCGGTCGCTGAATCTCAACCCGCGTCCGCAGTTGCCGCCAGCCTGCACCGTCTCGACCCGTCGGGCCAGCTGCGGCCGATCTGGAACATGCTCAAGAACCCATCGAGTGCGTCGCTCGAGTCCCTCCTTCGTCCCTTCCATCACCTTCGAGCCTGACGATCTGTCCTTGGTCGACGCGCCGCAGCTTCCGGTCACGGCTACTGGGACCTGCTCGGCATGGAGCAGCGGGTTTACGAGCAGCACCCGCCGCAGACGCCCGGTGTCGTCACGGCGAGCTCGGCCACGAGGGAGCGCAGGCGCGACCACGGCCTCCTTCTCGAGGGCAGGCTCTCCGAGCTCGTGCGTCGCCTCGCCTCTCTTCTTCCTCACCTTCTCGACCGAAATCTCGGCCGCAGCTGAACCTCGGCATCCCCTGCCACCTGTCGACGCAGACCCACGAGATCGACGTCCTCGAGCGCAAGCTGCGCGCTCTCGAGCCGACGCCCGTCAACGACAAGTTCGTCCCCGTCGCGCGCCCGCAAACCCTCCTCCCTCTTCGTGTCCTGCAGGGGCGCTACCGCGACGACGAGCCAGGCTCGCACGCGCTCTCGATGGGTCGCGTTCCGGAGCTCGGCTGGCGGGCTGCGGGGCGGTACCGCTTGAGCGCCGTCGGGCGTGCGCCGCGCTGCTGAGGGCGGCCGGCCCCGTCGAGCTCTCCCTTCCTTTCTTCGTCCCCTTCTCTCGCCGTTCCATTTCTCTCTGCAACTTGAACTCGTTCCTCTTCTCGTGGCGTCGAGAGTGCGAGACGAGAGAATGAAGCACCCTCCTGCCTCCTTTCCCTGCCGCTCGGACCTCGAGCGCACCGTCCGTCTCGCCGCAGCTAACTACTCGATCGTCCGCGTCGACGACGAGCCTCCTGAACGTTCGTCGCCTCCTCATGCGGCATGTCCCGGGCCGACAAGCGGAACGTCCGCGGAGCCGTTCCCCACGCTTTTGCGCCTCCTCGGTCAAGCTCTCTCTCTTCGACGTCCCGCCTTGCGCCTCGAGCTCTTGCGCGCGTCGTCTCATACGTCGCCTTCGGTAGAACGTCCGCCATGTCCGCTTCCAGCGTCGACTCGCTGGCTGTCAAGCGCGACCGCCTCCTTGCCGACAACGTCGACCCGAACGATCGCGAGGCCCTTCTCCGCCGCCGTACGTCCACACTCGCTTGCCTTTCATCGTCACGGCCGAGGGAACTGACGCGTGTCTCTCTTGCAGGCGCGATGAGTGAGTCCACTCCTCCTCTCTCGTTTCACGCGCGCACCTAGTTGACTTGAGCCTCTCCCGGTCTCGCAACAGTCGAGTGCTTCCTTTCTCAAGAGCTTTCCGGTCACCCGGACACCTACTTCGACCGAGCTCTCCTTTGCGCGAAGCGAGACGTTCTTGTGCGTCCCCGCCTCGCCTTTTCTACTTTGACAACGACGCGCTGACCGGTCGTGGCGTCGTTTAGACCGAGCAGGTCGGGTTCCTCGAGGGTACAAGCTCTCGAGTACGAGTGCAGGAGCGCGAGAGAGAGCTCGAGCGTCGGTGGAGCGTCTGGCGCGAGCATGAGGAGGAGCAGCAGGAGCGGACCGAGCGGCGGCGAGCGAGGCAAGCCGAGTCGGGTTCTGCCTCGGCGTTCTTTCCCTCACCTCCATCACCGCTTCTCTCGAGCCTAAGGACAGGGGACGGACGGGCGAGGGCACTCCCTCGAGCAAGGAGCGACTCGCGCGCGGTCGAGCTGCGGCATGATCGTGCGTCCTGGTCCTGCTCTTTCTCTCTCTCGATACAGCCCCTGACCTTTCTCCTGTACCTGCGCCAAGTTCGACAGAGTGATTCGCCTCGCAGGCCGGCCTGTCCATGGCAAAGCAACTGACCCTGTCGGCGAATTGCCTCCCCGCGACAGTCGACCACGCCCTCGCCGAGCTCGACCCGAATGCCGTCCTCGACCTGAGCGCTCCCTTGTCGCGCAAAGTCGCCCTCACTCCCATCTGGGAAGAGATGCGGCGGCTCAGACGGGGTGGGTCGTCCGCCTCGCCGCGTCTCTGCCGCCCGAACCCTGACTGACCGTCGCTCCTGGCGCAGAATCACGAGCCGCTGGACAACCTCATGCACCTCGCCGACCTCGACCGACAAGAGTTGGACGTGTACCGGACGGAATACCCCGACTGGTGGCGATTGGCGCGGCAGTCGACGGAGGAGACGAGGAATTGGCGGCGGTCACGGCGGGAGCGGTGGGCGCAGCTCAGGGAGCAGCAAGCCGAGCTTGTGCGTCCGATTCTCCTCCTCATCCTACCGATCGTCGTACTGAGGCTTCGTGCGAGCAGGAACGCGAGCTTGCCGCCACTCGTCGTCCGCAACTGCGACAGCCGCCACACCTCGCTCTGCTCGAGACTCGCCCGACCCTCGCAGCTGCGCCCGAGTCGAGGACACCTTCGCCGCCGGATCGGGAGCTGGCGAGTCCACACACGGTGCAGGTCGCGAGCCCGGAGGAGCGTCGCAGCTCGTGGCGGTGGCCTCGTCGTCGGCGGCGGTCGACGACTTGACGAGGGGCAGGTCCGGGCCGAGCGAGGGAGTACCGTAGCTGAGCTTGAGCGTGTAACAGAGCTAGTTGCCAGTATGTGCGCTTGCGCGAGAGCGATCGTCGTGCCGTGCCTTGCTCGAGACGAGAGGAGGAGAACACCGGCCCGCCGCCGACCGTCAGGAGGACAGGTGGGCGGGGGCGGCGTCTGGCGAACAGGAGAGGGCTGTGGCGCATCCCGGGGAGCGGCACCTGCTCGGGCAGCACACGCACAGCTAGCTAGAGCGGTGTGCGAGAGCGTGAGCGAGCGGTCGACGCGAGAGTTTCATCGGAGACGAGGCCCGCTCCTCTCTCTGCATCGCCATGCCTCGCCCGCAGAGCACCGACATGCGCTCAAGGGCACCGCACCAGTCCCACCAGGGCGCGCTGTGGACCGCCGTGTCGCTCGCGTGGCGCTCTGTCGCCCTCGGAGGCGTCGTCTCGCTCGCCGTCGTCATCTCGCTCGCTGCGTGGCTCGTCCTGCGTAGCGCGCTCAAGGTGGACCCGGTCATGGGCAGGGAGCGCGTCTGGCTCCAGTACGGGTCCGTCGCTTCTCTCCTTCTCGATGTGCCCCACCTCCCCCTCCCCGCCCCCTCCACTTCCGTTCGATGACGCGCGAGAGCTGACCAGCACCTAGCGCCAATCCAGCCAGCACAAGCCGCCCTATGCCCTCGTGCAACTCGACCAACGCAAGTACTCGACCCCAGGCAAGGTGTACGACGTCGACCTCGAGCTCGTCGTCCCCGTCAACTCGAACAACCTCGAGCTCGGCAACTTTATGGCGTCGCTCTCGCTCGTCGATGCCGTCGGTCAGCACGTCCTGACCGTGAGCAGACCTGTGCGTCCCCTTGTACCCCTCATCGTCGTCCCCCACCGGCCTTCCGCTGACCCTCA